TTCCTGAAATGACCTGAAGTGGTTGAAGCTTCTGAAAGGGGTTTCAGGTGCCCCCTTCCAGATAGTTGGATGGGGATACCCGAAACCCCTTTTCAGAAGCTTCAACCACTTCAGCGGTTTCAGGTCCCCACTTGGAATTCCTGAAATGACCTGAAGTGGCTGAAGTTTTTGAAAAGGGTTTCAGGTACCCCCATCCAAATGGTTGGATGAGGGTACTCGAAACCCCTTTCAGAAGTTTCAGCCACTTCAACGGTTTCAGGTCCCTACTTGAAATTCGTGAAATGACCTGAAGCCGCTGAGGCTTCTGAAAGGGGTTTTCAGGTACCTCCATCCAAATGGTTGGATGGGGGTACTCGAAACCCCTTTCAGAAGCTTCAGCCACTTCAGCGGTTTCAGGTCCCCACCTGAAATTCATGAAATGACCTGAAGTGGCTAAAGCTTCTGAAAGGGATTTCAGATACCCCCATCCGAAGCTTCAGCCACTTCAACGGTTTCACGTCCCCACCCAAAATTCCTGAAATGATCTGAAGTGGCTGAAGCTTCTGAAAGGAGTTTCACATACCTCCATCCAAATGGTTGGATGGGGGTACCCAAAACCCCTTTCAAAAGCTTCAGCCATTTCAGCGGTTTCAGAGCCCCACCCGAAATTTCTAAGATGACATGAAGTGGCTGAAAAAACAGGCAGGGAAAAAAAAAAACCCCATAAAACTTGTCTTCCAAACCACCCGAAACTTCTGACATGACCTGAAGTGCCTTCAGGCCATTTCAACGGTTTCAGACCACTTCAAAATCTTTCATTCTGAAATGAGTAGACAGTTGCTGCTCTTTCCTATGAATGTACAAAGCTAGCTATCTTTCTGGTCGTTCACAGTCGTGATCTGATAAGGGTGGTTTGTGCTAGGGGCCAGGATGCAAGGAACGAGCTTTTGGTGCTGCATTGATTTTTGTATGACCCCTCGGTTATTTGTTCTTTTCGATGGGTGGCATGCTGCTTTTCCTTTTCACCTTTCAAATTCCAACATGCTCTGCGGACTTCGTTTTGGTGGAGTATCTGTGCGCTTTCCTACATGTGTGCTCTTGTATTTTGGTTCGGTTCAATTTTGAAGTATGCCATCGCCATTAGTCGATATTTTCGGTTTTGATAAAGACAAGGGCATCGGCAAAGGATTTTCATGTGCCTCAGTGAGCACACCTGAATTTCTTTTAGAACTTTTCAATTATGGATTTGTCGTAGCGCACTACTTTCACTAGCATTCCACGTAACTATTTCTGCACCTTTTCCTTATTCACTTTCTCCACAAGCGCATTTGCATGCAATCTTTTGATCTCCCCATTATTCACGCCATGGGATTCTGTTCTCTTTGGTTCGTTAAACGCATGCAGGCCACTATGGTTCATTAAACACATTACGAGGGATTCTGTCCTCTCTTAGTTGCCATGAAGGTGGTCCACTCCCCCACGTCGCGTTGTGATAACATGCGCAATCGAGATGGGGACAGTAACGATTTTGCTAGTTCATGGTAAAGGGATGGTCTGCAACCCGATGGAAGTCTCCCCGTGCATCCGTCTATCCTCTTGGTTTTCAGCTCCGAATCCTACTTGTTTTTGCACGTGTATATGTTGGTTTGTATGTGTGTGCGGAGCTGGTGGGCCACGATGCTGAATGGCCTAGTGCTCCGCGACGCTTCCATTAATCCATCCGGCCTTCCTCATGGAGGGAATGTGGGTGGGACACACACACACACACACACACACACACACACACACACACACACACACACAGTTTTATGTACGTCTCCCTTTTCTATGTGCGTCACTCTTCCTGTTTTCTTTTGGTGCTCGCCGACACTAGTCCATTAGTCCATCCGGCCTTCCTCATGGAGGGAACGTGCGTGGGACACACACACATGCACACACACACACAATCAGTTTTATGTATGTCTCCCTTTTCTTTCTGTGTCATTCTTCCTGTTTTCTTTGTCGTCCTGGTATTTTTTCTTACTCTTTGGGCATCCTGCTAAGCACCTTTATGAAGTGCCATTGGTCGGTCACTCCACATTTGTAGTACCTACAAAACTCTTACGGAACCCGCGCAGTTCAGGATGTGTGTGTTTCCTGCTGGTGATGAAGCGGGTTTGTCTGAGCAACTCCCTGGCTCAGCGGCTGGTGGCAACTAACAGTCCTTGGGGTTCAATAATGATGTAAGCGATGTGCCACTTTGCTCCATCTTGGAAGTGTGGACTGCCTCATCTGCTCTTCGCAGCTGCCTTGCTGCCCGCCCCGCTTGCTTCACATGTCGTTCTTTGCAAGCTGCTGTGTTGACTGTGTGGTGTAGCTGCGGTGTTGATGTTGCCTTGTGCCTCACTGCTCTCCTGCCTTGCTGCCCATCCACGTGTCGAACCACGTGTCCTCCTTTGCTTGTGTGCCGTGTAGTTTGCCCACCCTTGCCAGTGTTGCCGTGTGCTTCATTGTGCGGTTGCGATGCTGCTCGTCCGCTCGCCCTGTTGTTCCTGACAGCTGTTTTTGGTGTTGTGCAGTCGTGTTGCCTCGGCAGCGCTGCCTGGTGCTTCACTGAGTTGCTGCCCGCTGCTATGTTGCCGACGGGGACAGCCCGCCTTCAACATGGGTCAAAGGGTTCATGACCCAAACCATCAATACGGAGATTCCGCCGATTGTCGAGGGTTCAGCCTCCTGATAAGTCGGTGCAACTGAAACAAAACGATCTTGTCATCATCAGTTTTCATTTCTTGGCTCCTGTGGTTTTTGATGTTGATGATTTCTTTCAGTGTGGTTCTTGTACTCGCGGTTTTTTCTTGTAGTTGTTTTACGCTGTTAGTTCGCCGACCCACCTCCCCCCTTGCCCACCAGCCTGTACTTTGTAACCGCTTCTTGTTTTACGTTTTGTTGCCTTTTTCCCTTTCCTTCGCCTTGCTGCTTCAGAGTGCTGCTTTTTGCTCACAGTCTTTTGCCTTTCTTTACGGTCTTGCAGCCTAGCGTCCTCTGACTCTAGTCCTTATGTCATCATAGGGTTGGTGAAAGATACGAGGACTCTGTATGCACTTATTCTTTTGGTTTCTTTTTTTGGATGTGTGTGCCTTCTGTATTTACCATATGATGCAGATCGGTCTCTGTCCTGGTATGATTTTGATTGCATATTCAAACGCAGCTCACCGTGACTTGCATCATGATGGCCCTATAATTCATTAAACACACACACATACTATAATGTGTCCAGTCGCACAAACCCAGGATTTCAGTAAAAGGTGATTACAAAGCGGACAATCAGACAAATGCCTGGTCGAATGGGAAGAAAGACACTGATGGCGGACAAAACGTAGCCTTATTCTCTCTCTCTCTCTCTCTCTCTCTCTCTCTCTCTCTCTCTCTCTCTCTCTCTCTCTCTCTCTCTCTCCATGGCTCCTGAATATTAGCCTCCCATGGCTCTTTTGTTTCCCTGGCACCAAAAAAAATGGGCTCGGCCAAGGTATAGAAAGTGTGGTGAAACCACAGGGGGCTGGCTGCACAGGCAATTATATGCCCTGGGTCATTCCGGTGCGCAGTTCTTCTCACAAAGCTATATATAGCGGTCCATTCAGTCAGCAGTGAAGGCGGAGACATAAAAATTGAAGTCCAGGGAAAGAACACCATCGAAGGGGCATCAGTGAAAAACCATGAACAAGTGCCCCGCAAAAGTCCAGGGTTCTCTGGCCCTTTTTTTATAAACGCAGTTCATACGGTCATGGATAACTAGAAGGTAGTCCTTTTCTACATGTTTTAAATGGTGGCAGCATTCATCAATGGTCTGCTTATAAATTCAGCGAGAGACAGAAGAAATCAGGTTGAAGGTATATAAGTGTTCACCAATTGTCTGCTGATAATTTCAGGGAGAAACAGGAGAAATCAGGTTGAGGGGATAAGTGCCAAGTGCCAGAGTTTGGCATGTGAGCAATGGGAGAACGGAGGGAGGGAGAGGGTTGCAGAGGGTGGATCAAATCAGCTGTCCATCACTGAATAATGGCCAAAGAGGTGACGCATAGGTGATGAGAGTAGGGGCGTGACAGTCTGGCTGCAGGCGTGACGAAGAAAGAGATTCATAGGTGATGAGAAGTCGGGACGTGACAGGCTGGCTGCAGGCGTGACGAAGAAAGAGATTCGCAGACAGCGAAATCTTAAGGAGGGAAGCGTGGGGGGTGGAAATGGACGAGGAAGACGCATACAAGGCAGCAGAGAGGATGACAGTGATAAATGTGTAAGGGGGAAGGAACCAAGTTCACAGAGACTATCCTGCCACACATGATAACCACTGGGTAGAGACGAATGAATAAGTCACAAGCTCACTATAAAGCTCGTCCTTTGCGAACACACGACCACATGCGTGAACACCCGTCGCCCAAGCCAGCCAGGGTACATACATATTGCAGTTGTAGAAGAAGTGAGCAGGCAGGCTGTGTACAGAAAATGAACCGTGGAACAGGTCACATAACATATGCGTCAAACCGGGCACACGACAAGCGACCAGCAACAGATGCAGCCAGTGCCAGCCACCAGGATGTGTGTGCTGCCGAAGCATTTAGCACAAACCAGCACATCTCAAGCAAACTAACATCACATGGAAAGACGTCATTGCTTCCTTTTTGTGCAATGAAGACCGCATCTCAGAACAGGTCACAACACAGCGCAATAGGCCCACAGGCAGTTGCCACGACAATGTATAATGGATAATGCGCGCAATGGGCAAGGGGTGCCAATTTGCCAAAGAAACCTTCCTGCCAGCAAAGATAGTTGTGTATGCACATCCAGAAACCTCAAAGAGTCTCACGAAAGCCCCGCGCTAAGGTGGTTTCAATTGTCAAACTGGGTGTCCCACTCTTGAGGGTAGGCTGCATTGAAAGAAGAAAGCATGACGACCTACTGTCACCAAACTACTACCGTCTTCACCCGAACAGAACGCCCCGTCACTATCGCCGCACCTGGACTGAAAGTTGGGCCAAATGCAGCTATAATGACCGGGAGTTTTATTCGGGTGAAGACGGTAGTTCAACTTGTTGGCTGACAGGCTCTCACTTTCTATCACACATCAAGTCAAGCACTTGGTCGAAAACGATGATCATTAAGCCAATTAATCGACCTATCCCATTCCACTCACCCCCTCTCCCTCCCTCTCTCCCTCTCACCCTCCCTCCATACATACACACATACATACATACGTACGATCCATCCCGTGTTGGACGTGAGCCACTGAGTGGGACCAGAATACAAGAGATGCTCTCATGTGCTACGGGTGCATGCATTGACGGGTGCGATCATCTGTGGAAGTGCCTGCTTGCAACAAACAGGGTTCACTTTTATCCAATCCACAGGAACTCGCTCTCGTTTCCCCCTTCCCTGTGTATCATTTATGCCTACGACGGCTAGACCTGGACAAGTCCTACACAGTTCAAGCACTTGCATGATAATCATGCTCCGAAGTGTAAGAACCTTTTTACGACTCCCCACTTTTCAGACATTGGTGCAGATGGTGTTGACATCTTTCAGTTCAATACCCATCTCCAGGTACAGCTGTCACATGGTTCTCTACCGCTACCGCCTTAACGTGGTACAGGGTTAGATAGTGCACGTGGAACTGGAGCCAGGAGCATGCAGAATGGTCTTTAGAACTCCCTGCTTCTTTTCAGATATCAACGCAAGCGCAAGCGGAGTTCAGTTCACTACTCGCGGTACAACACGACTTCCGGGTGCAGTTGTGACACAATTCTGTACCACCTGGAACCCGGTCTAGAGTCGCACAATTGTACCAACTGAACCTGGTACAGAACAGTGTATGCTACTGCACCACCTGGAACCCGGTCTAGAGTTGTACAATTGTACCAACTGAACCTGGTACAGAACAATGTATGCTACTGTACCACCTGGAACCCGGTCTAGAGTTGTACAATTGCACCAACTGAACCTGGTACAGAACAGTGTATGCTACTGTACCACCTGGACTTTTGGCACGTGGAATCGATCAACTAATATACTTTTGCTGGTTGTGACCAGCGCGAGTAACTTCACTAACCAAGCTTTGAACACCAAGGGTTGCTCTCACTGAAATACAGTACAAATACTACAAATGACAAATGTGAAATTTGAAATAAGCTTCCCTCGCAAGAGATTTCTAACGAATTATACAAGTTAGATACCCCTCAAGTTCCACTCAAACACCGAAGAAGACTCCTGTAGCTAGGGACTAGCTGGTGCTGGAATTGAGCATGACCAAAGAGGGGGGTTACAGCCAACACGAGGAGGCTCAATCAGCGCTGTTGGAAACTGGCATTTACCCGCAGATGTCGCTCCGCATCCAACAGCTGAGGCAGCTTCTTTGGCTTCGCCATCCTCTCCGTCTACATGATCGTTCACAGTGCTACCATCCTTAGTGCCTGCTGGTATTTTCCGCATTGTCTGCATCCCAGTACGCTGTCTCTTCACCCCTTCTCCCCACCCAGTGCAACCCATTTTCTCAGGACTCGCTCCTTTCAGCTTCACTGCGTCTGATGATTTTGACATCTCCTTCTTGTTGACACGCTTGGATTCTAATTTGGGTCCAGCTTTCGAAGTTTTGGGTGCACTACTACCACCACCTCTGCTGGCTTCCCCTTTATTACTTGGCACAGCCTTCACACCACGCTCTTTGCCGCCTTTGTCTGCAGTAGCGACCCTGGATTTGGTCCTACAGCTCCCCTTTTCGAATTCCATTTCATCCTGGAGACGAAGAACCATTCAAATCAATGCATCAGCTTCGACTAGAAACATGCCAACAACAAAACGAGAGGAAGAAACTTCATCCTGCAGAAAAGGGCAAATAAAAACACAGGAATTCGACTAGCAATATTGCACGGCAATGCACGCCTCTGCTTCAAGAAGAGAGGGCAAGCAGTAGTCAGCATGTCAGTGTGGAAGAATGTGCATGGCCACACGACGGCAAATATTTCAAGAGCAACTAGGCTACCAGCCGGGCCGCCCGGGTCACCCTGTTTACCCGGGCGGCCCGGCCGGGCAAGGACTAGGGAAGGTCCGCGCAACCAGAAAAAAAAAAAAAAAAAAAAAAAAAGTTATCATTTTTATGCAGAAAAATAAACTGAACAACTCTTGCCTCAGGGTCACATCGAAATTCTTTACCAAATTTAAAATCAAAATTAAAATGAAAAAATAATTTTCTTTTTTTTAAGTTTTTTAAAGCTTTCTATTTTTATTTTATTATTTTTTTTATTGGCCTGGCCGGGCACGTGGTCCCGGGCCACTCTGGTAGCCTAGAAGAGCAAGATACTAACACATTCTGTGCATCAAAGCCCAGTGGGATGTCCTAGATGCCAACTGGAGTATGTATTGTATTTGTAATTTTGTATTGTATATATAGACTTGATTGAATACAATGTCACTCACTTCACTCACAAACTCGATCCTTCTCTGGGAAAATCTGCAGCGGAAGTTTAGTGAGACGATTGACGCGAGGTTGTTCAAGTCCTTTTCCTTACTAACCTTCTGCTTGTTGGTTGGCAGACTGGCAAATAATGATTGAAACGGCCTCTCCGGAACCCACACGTTAGGATCAGCCTTGACTGGCGGCTGTTTGGCTCGCCCTGCAATCACCTTCACATCCTTCATCTTGCATTTGCTTGGCGATTCGGTTCCAGACACTCGCAGCCCCACTTTCCCGGTCTGGCCAAGTTTACTAGCTTCTCCCTTGGTAGGATTGAGTGCCCCATCTTCCGACAGACCTGCCGCAGTCCGCCGCCCTATGATTTGGCCATCCTGATGTCCACTCTTGTTAGGCGGCGGCTGGTTGGGCTCCTCCTCATGCCGTACCCTCTGCTCACTCTCCAAGGCAACGCCAGGATGATCAGGTGTCATCCCCACCCCCACATCCCTTACAGAAGGAAGTTTGTGAGCAGTGACAGCACCAATCGCTGAGCGATCTTGTAAGTTGCTGTCATTTGGAAAACAAGGACCACTCGTGCTAGTGCTCTTGTTGCGGCCAATTACCTCATGTGAAATACGGACCTTGCTCACATTACTGCGTTCCTCTCGAGCACTGTTGTGGTTGTTGTTATTGTTGTTGTTGTCGATAGACTTGATACCAATATGCGCTGCAATTTCGGGGGGATGTTCAGAAAAACCTCCACCCATGCTAACTAACCCCTCACTATCCGTATGTACATCTTTTTCCGTGGCTGCTGTGCGCTTTTGCTGTGGGCAGATTGCTCCACTTGACAGCGTGCATTTACCAGTGTCCTTCGGAGTAACATCGTGATCGCCGGCAGACATCGAAGTTCCCGCTCGATGCATTCCTTGCGCACCCATGGCCACACTAACAGCTGCCACGGCAGAAGACTTTCCAGAGGACAGCATATTCACACCAGGGGAAGTCAAAGAAGTCATTGGGAATGGCTGCGAGACTGGAGTGGGTAGTGGACAAAGAGGATGAGTGGGAGTCTCCATGCCCGTTGAAGTCGTTCCAATGATGTTTCGGAGAAGTGAAAGCCCCGATGAACCATCAAGAGAGAAATCGGAGCCAAACAACAGCTCATTGCCAAGGCTTCCGGTGCTCGGGAAACCAACATCTTCACCAATCACTAAGGAGTCGCCCTGCATCAGTCAAAACCAAACAACATGATCGAGGGCATTGATGTGTAAATGAACCCAGACTCGTGAGAAGCCGACAATGTCAGAATGATGCATGTAGTCAGTCTCCCTCATGCAAAGTAGCCTCAGAATCAGGGCTGCACTGGCCACCGGTCGGTTGGACCGGACCGGACCCAACCGGGCCAGTTGGAACCCCGGTGGTCCAACCGGAAAACCGGTTAGGCCCAAAACCGGGTCAATTTATTTTTATTTTTATTTTTTGATGATGAGGTTGGACTGCGCTTGTCGAGATCTCCCCGAATCCGCAGAGAAAATAGTGATCTGCTATTTTTTTTCCATGGGGTTTTGTGTGTGTGTGTGTGTGTGGGGGCGGGGG